CTTGGCATTATACGTGGTGTCGGCTTTCTTTTGACAAAGACTGGATCAAGATCTTCATTTTCAGGATTTGTCTGCCTAACAAAGAACAGTAAATCATCGTTTTTGCTATCACTGCTATCAAGAAAATATTCTATGAAGAGCTCTAGCCATCTTGATACATTTAATCAATAAAGGATCAAAAAAAGCCAAAGTTAAAATCATTTTCAGCAACCATATCCTGTATAGTAAAAAATAGGCTCTATATCACACAAACCTTGGATCCCCGGCATCCAGATCTTGATCATCTCTTTGTTGAAACGTGGCATATAGCTCAGCTTGCGAACTGTCGTTTCTCGAAACTCGAGGTTGATGTGAGGTCGAAACAGAGTTTATAGGCCCATGAAGGTTTTCAACAATGAGACGATCGAGAATAAGTTGGAGGTGAGCCATGGCTACCAATCTTATGACAAATGGTTGTCAGGGGCAAAATAAGGAAACATAGAGACACGAGATTTGCTAATATAATATAGATCTTTGCATATCGATATATTCGATATATAATATGTAAATCCGATACTCGTTTTAAGCGTTATAGCTATTGTTTAATATCGTTATTACAAACACGTGATTTTAATTTTGCAGAATTTTATTTTCACATTTTCAAAATTTATTAATATCAGCAAGCTAATTGCCATATACACACACTTTTAGTGTACAAAACGCTAATCAACATTAATAGGATTTATCATTACTAGCACTGCTTTGTTCCTTTCTAACGATGTCAGATGTCTAGGCTGATTTACCAACGAGTGCGACTACTAACTCCAGAATTATATCCACGTCCACCATTACCATTATTATTGTATCTTGAACGGCCTATAGGTTTATAAATTGAAGATATAATTCCGTGTAAAATTTCATATTATATAAATGTAGAGAACGATGCTGAAATCAGATTATACCTATTTTAACTATTTTAGTATTTTAAAATTTTTCGGGGCGCATTTTTTTTAAGTTAGAATTTAAGATTATGTTGATGATAAAAAAGTATGAGTTTTAATAGGTTTAATGTGCCTAAATTAGGGCCCTAAATTTCAGCACCACCCCTAACATCCAATTAACGTTTTGACAAATTACCTGCAGGAGTACTAGCTGAAGCGATCTTCATAAACTCTAAAAGTTTTGGATCAACCTCCTGATTAGCTTCACGCAATATGTTCACCAAATCTTTAGCCTGTTTAGCATTATCCATTGTGAAAAACGTTATAGCAGAGCCCTTAGCACCACCACGCCCTGTTCTCCCAATTCGATGAACATAATCCTGAATGAAAAAAAAAATTACATTAACTAAAAACTGTAGACTACATATATACAACCTATAGAACATAAACCTTAGTTACCTCAACATTAGTCGGAAAGTCATAATTAATAACGAGCTTAACATCCTTAACATCTGGAGTCCAAAAAATGTTTGTGAGCAAATCAATCAAATCACATATGCCGGCCAGATTGCCATGAGTACTTATCCAAAGTCATATGATCGTGATGGTGATGCACACAACGGGCAATTTAAGTTATGGCAGATAATGTGCACCATTAAAAAAACGACCAGACAATCAGACAAGAAACGTAAAAACAAAAAAAAATAAAACAAAAAAAATAAAAAATAAAAAAATAAAAAAAAGGATATGTAAGTCCCAATGCCAAATCGTTGAGCAGCGGCAAGCAAACAAAGTATCAAGATGACAGCACGACATGACGACATCCATGAAGATTCTACTAGAGCTGGAAACACCTCAAAACCGCCTGAGCTAGACTAGGTCGCCATAAGTCTTCATCAGCACGATCATTTCTTCTAGCAATCTGACTTATGGCAGGCCATCGAAAGATTACGTGATGAAACGTAACAACTTTGAACCGGTCAGAGCTCAATCCAAATATCAAATCATAGACAAGATCCTAGTGGCACCGCCAGCCATATGAAATATTTTTTCGCATATTATTATATATATATATTTCTTTTTTTTTCTTTTTTCTTTTTTTTTTTTTGCATTCATTTTCTTTTTTTTTTAAAAAATTTGATTCTTTTTTTTTTTTTTTTTTGTTGTTTCTTTTTCCTCTTTTTCCTCTTTAATATATGCATACTTGTTGCCCGCGGCTACTGCTGGCATTTTTTAGGGGGACCTACACAACACATACACGCAGGGGGGCAAGAGCATGTTATGAAATCAAAACAAATTAACAAGAAATAGCAGAATAAAACATTACCGATTCCTCTAGAAGCAACATCAGTAGCAACCATTATCGGTGATTTGCCACTTCTAAATTCGCTTAAAACCCAATCCCGTTCAGTTTGCGCCTTATCACCGTGAATTGCAAGCGCTGGCCAACCATCTTGGCGCAAATATTTTGTAATCTCATCTGCTGTACGTTTTGTGCCAGTGAAAATTAATGTTTTATTATCCTTTTGATCCATGATACGTTCAAGATGTTTGACTAGCCTATATGGGCAATAAAAATAAAGTAAATACGTTTAATAAGTGATACAGAAATATTAATCTTATGTGAGGAAAATTCCAAAAATTATATTTACTTATTTCGTTTTTCGTATTCAGTACAAATCTCAACAGTTTGAGAAATGTTATGACTTGCCGACAGATCTAAAGAACCGATATTTACTTGAATGAAATCATGAAGATAATCTTCTGCGAGGCGTTTGACTTCTTTTGGCCAAGTAGCACTCCACATAAGGGTTTGTCTATCTGGTCTGATTTGTTCAACAATCTTTCGAATTTGTGGCTCAAATCCCATATCTAACATACGATCAGCTTCATCTAATACAAGATATGTCACTCGGCGGAGATTGGTTCGCCTTGATTCTAACATATCGATTAATCGACCAGGTGTAGCAATACAAATCTCAACACCATGAGAAAGTTCACGTGCTTGAGGACCTTTGGGAACACCACCGTAAACGCAGGTATTTTTGATCTTTGATGACTTTCCAAATTTCGTGCATTCTTGTTGGATTTGCACAGCCAATTCACGTGTCGGTGCAAGAATAAGAACAATAGGTCCATCACCAGGTTGAAGAAAGGGTTGTGCATTTATGTGAACAATAGCAGGCAAGCAGTAAGCTAAGGTCTTCCCAGATCCAGTTTCAGCAATACCCACCACATCACGACCAGAAAGTGCCATTGGCCATCCTTGTGATTGGATTGGCGTTGGGGAAGTGAAACCTAGGTCGAGAATTTCATTCAAGACGTAGGCTATTAAACAAAAATGGTTAGAGTTATGAATATATTTAATAAATAAATTCTCATAAGACTTTGTATGTACCTGGAAAATTGGCTTCTTCAAAAGTTTCGACCGGTTTTGGGATATCGAGACCAAAAACTTTCATGTCATGTTTTTTCCGGTATTCATCTACTTCGACTTGAGAACGTGAAATGACATTTATATGTTCTCGATAAAAGTTCTTTTCAAATTTAGGAAGTTTTGAAAAATCCCAATCTTGTCTTGTCAAGCCTGATCCAAGATTTGTCATACGATCATTTTGGTGTGTTGTATTGCCACTGGGTCGATAGCTAGAACTGGCATAACGCTCACCACTACTTCCATATTTATCATATCCGGGGCTGCGTTCTCTATAATGTGAGCTGCCACGAGAATCATACCTAAAAAAATTTTAAAAATTTAGTGTCTTCGTTATCCTAAACAATTGATCTTAGATAAAAGCATTATTGCTATGTATATATATTTTTTTTGTCGTTGTCGTCGTTGTGACAAAGCAACAAAACACATTATTTGTTTTTATTTAAAAAGTAATCAAATTAAAACAAAATATCTTCTTTTGGCATAAAATAACTTACTCTTTCCGATCTCTTCGACTGCGGTCATCATAAGAACGATCTACTCCACGGTCATTACCATAACGTGAAGACGAAGTATAAGATGAGCTATAATTTGATGAGTTTTTATACGAAGAACTACCGTTTCCATAAGATGACGACTGTGGAGGCGCATTGCCACTGTTGTAAGTTGTAGATGTGGTGGCAGCTGCACTATAGATCGTTCCTGGTGGAGCGGGAACCCCTGGAGCACCATAATTTGTGTAAGACATATTTCTTTTTGATTATAATA